ACATACATAACATGTTATATAGATTTTTCAAATAATTTACACTAAGAAGTTCAAAAAATTGTGAGAAAACTAAACAAGAAAAAATGAGTTCAGATGTAGATATTTTAACAAGCAATAATCACATGCTAATACATATTTATTCAGATTTCATGACTTGCTAAGAATACTCAAAACTTTTTGCTCATTGACACAATCAATTATATTATAGATGCACTCTTCTACCCACACACTCATTTCAATTCCCTATGATTCTCTTTCTTAAGTGTTTTAACAACTATTGTCACATTTAGACAGTAACATTGAACTTACGAAGCTAATAAGTTTGTTAATTTCTGCTATATTTATTTTCCATGCTTTAAATGATTTTTATTTTATTTTCCAACATTTGATTTACCTTAATTATTAACAGTTGAGAAAAGAAATACAAATCCATGAATTATCTGTAATTCGTTCTCATGAAAGCATAGAATGTATGAAATATCTAATTGATACAATTTTTTTAACATACGATATGAAACTTTATAAACAGATATTTGGCAGCTCAATTAACTCTCCTTTTTTACCTACTCACTAGTTGAGTCTTAGGTAATAGACATCACGGAAAAATGGACTCTTTTTTGGCTTAATCGATTTTTTTAGCGTTAATTGATTCAGTCAAGTGTCAAGTATAATACTCTTAGTTATTGATTGTAGTGCCTATAATGAATTTTCTAGAGAACCTAATTATCTACAAAAATAAGACTTGATGCGATACTTTAAGAACAATTCAGCATTTGAAAATAGCATTTTAGGTTGAAAAAAATTTTTTTTCTGCCCTTCAAAATGATTACACTTGCAATTTCGTATTATTAAGCTTGAAAAAGTTTTAAACCTAAAATCAATGCTTAGATGTGTTAACGTTAAGAATTTTTTTTTTATTGATTAGTATTTATAGAAATTTGATAAGCTTTCACCTTTTCAAGAACTATTTAAATAACTTTTTCGTACTTATTACATAATTTTTTGAGGCAGAGCTTTTACAACTTTTTTCCCTGCCCCCAACATTGAGGTCAATTTTTGCCATCTATATATACAATCTGAAAGAAAGTATAAAACTTTCGATTGAACGAAAAATTAGCTGCAGCTTCTGCCACACATTCTGTACGTCTTTCACAAACAAGTTAAGAAAATGACCAGCTTTAGAGTTGTAGTCTGCAAAATTATTAATTCCACGTATTTTTGCTTACAAACCTGATTTACGCTCAAACATGTTTGATACCGTTATATCATTTGTGGGGTACTTAGTACCATAACTTTCTATAGAAATAAATATCACAATTTGTACTATAGGACCATAATTTTTAACTTAACTAATAGTAAAGACTCATTGATCTTTATGGAATACTTAAAGTGTTAAGTCTGCACAGATAGAAAAATATTTATTTATATTCTAAGAGCAACTCTCCATAAAACCTGTATCTAACAGTTTTTCTCATTTTTGTTGTTGTATCAGCAGAGTTTTCAGTCGTTTTAACACAGCCAATAACCATTTTTTTCTGCTGTACACTGTAACGCACTCTTTAAGAGATTTTTAAGTAACAAAACTGTGACTTACATCAAATTATTGTAAATAAATTATTGCACTGAAGCAATTATCTAAGTTATTCCTCGATTGTTCAATATTACTTTGCGAGTTTCTAGATTATTGTAAAGTAACAGAAGTTTTCTGCTCTTGCCAACTTAAATTAAATACATCATGCACTCTAGACCTTACTTTTCAAGCTGTTTTTTTTATATTTTAATACCAGTTTATTTGAATTGATAAAATTTTTTCTTAGCAGATGTCGTAAGCGTGAGATTGGTGTTTTTTCTACGTATATCATAGATGTTAGCCGATTTCTATAAACAAATTAACAATTTTCTCGATATGTGTCCCAGTATTTGTTACCAGTTGACTTTACGGAAGCTATTTTTTTTTTTTTATTCAATTCATCAATAGAAAAAAGTAAATCGGAGACGGACGGCAGTACCGTTGCAATCATTTTCCCTTCATGTTCTTATAAACAACTTTTGCATGCATTACCGCAACGATTCATCCAGGTTTGCGAGTCAGTTTCGAAGCATAGCACTATCACACTATATGGTATGTAACGCACATATAGTATATACGAACCTGCACCAAAGTTGGCAGTCTGCTTTTCGAAGGTACGCCCTTTTTGTCTCTTACGAGCAGATAAATCGTCTTGACGTCATGGCAGCTGATGAGCAGCTTTGCAACCAAAAGTTTGCCCATAAAACCAGTGGCTCCCGTGACTAAGATCGCCCTGTCGCGATACCAATCTGGTATGCTCGGCTTTTTTTCGACCTCGTCAGCCATGGCTCCCTCGGATGCCGGATCCGTCTGAAGACAGGTTTTTCGATAACTGTAAACAATGACACCATTAAATCTTCTTCACTTTACAAGATTACAAATGTTAATTGCCGCTCTCATAAGAAGTAAAACAGGGATTTAATTTTCGTATACGATTGTATTTTAAAATCAATGTACTTAAAAGTTGTCACTTGTTTTTTATTTGATTGTTAAAAATTACATGGAGTGCAATTTAATCAACGGCATCATGAATAATTTCTTGGGTTTATTTGTTGCCCGACTCCACTGAATTCCATACAATTTGATTGTAGAGCAGTTGTTGTCAGCTGATTAGACTCTAACTTATTTTTGGTGATGTCATCAGAGCTAAGTTTTTAAATGAAAATAAAAAAAATAATTAGCGCCGCGTTTGACGCGAAAAACGAAATATCTGATCAAACGAAGCGCCAAGGACATCCTCGTCATTTGGTATATCCATGCCTTTCGAAGTAAGAGGAAAGATACAATCTAATTCTGCACAAGTACGGATATTCGAGATTTCTGCTGAGCCGAATACATATATATATATATATATATATATATTAATCGCAATAAATTTACACCTTTGAAGCGTTTCTTCGGTGTTATCGAATTAACTTTTAGTTTTCAACCAATGGTAACTGCTTTTTGTTGTCATTTATTTGGGTGCTATTTAAACTCGGAGTCTTACATTTTAGTTTGAAATGATTTTTGTGGTGCCTCGTGTGTGTTAAATCTAATGTCATTCACTAATTTTTATTGAAACGGGGAAAAGTTTCATTGATTTTTTTGCTAAATCTGATGTTTGGCGTTTAGAAAGAAATTATTTTTTATTGCTTTTAACAGCTTATTATACAGTGAGAGCTTTAGTGTGAGATTTTACAGCTTATTTGAGGAAATACACCTAAGACGAGTATAAATATATTCTGTATATAGTATCGTTCACTTTTTGAGTTATTTTTAAATATGTTCGAAAACTCGCTATAGGTATATTATGTTCTATCATAAAAAAACTATTTTTCCTTATATATTAGGTGAATCTTTTTAAACAGCATAATTGTGATGACTGTACATTGAGGGACTTGAATTGAAGAAATGATCATTACATTAACATCGACGAGTTTCTTGGAAAGTTTTTTTTGCATCATCAATGGATTTCACGATTAATCTTTACAATTTTTACAATTGTTGGACATTTATGATATTTTATACAGACTTCAAACAGACTGATTTTTTTATCGTGGACTAGTGATGGTAACTATAAGATTTACAAGAACCAAACCAAAAAACGTAGTATATGATTAATTTAAACAAAAAAATTTTCTGAGGAACTTATAAAAATTAAAAGAATTTGTTTAAGAGTTTAAAACACGTTTGTGTGATGAATATCTTTTTTCGCATCCTCGGGAACATAAAAAAATCCGTAAGTGAGCAAACTAAGGAATATGATGATTTTTTTCATCTGTTTTAAATTTTTTATTAATAACTGTACAATGAAAATAGAAAATTTTTTTTCGAATTTTCTGGTATTTTTAAATTTTGAGATGAACTAATTCCTCTTTAATTTTTTTGGCTCTTAGACATAAACATTTTCTTAAAACATTTTTTCCGAATTTAAAAGTGTTTATACACAATATGTTTAATCAATTTTCTTGTAAAAAATAATTTAAAAATCGTTGCGTGTTTGTAAATTTTCTTATATTGCTAAAGGTACAGATGTAAAATATGCCAATTCATTTCCTGAAAATATTGTACATTTCATGAATTTAATTATCTGTTTATGGTAGATGAGTTAAATTGCTTTACTACTTTTCCAAAAGGCATGATAAATGTTGTGTTTTTACTTCAAATTTATTTAAAAAAGTTCAATATATACTTTTTACAATAATTTTGACTACAAAATGACTTTATTATAAATAAATGTAAAAAAACTACTCTATTTGTTTACACTGTAAGGAGTGATAATTTTCATGGA